CTCGGCACCGTGAACGCGTTGGTTTCGGCCTCTAGGGCCACGGAGAACGGTCCGGACGCTCCAGCCGACGGCCTGGCAAACCGAGCCATGGCCCGGAAGAACCACAAGAAAACCCCAGTGCCTCCAACGGCTACACAAGGCGGAGGAGATTGAGGGGCTCTGGTGGCTCCAGAAAGGCTGATGTGCGGTCCTCCTACGGACTCCCCAGAAGCCGCCAATGATGCTCCATTATTTAAAGGGCTGGCGGCAGTAGATGGCTCTGCGCTACCCTGGACTGAGGCTGCTCTGTAGAGCCTGCTTTAGTCTTGAAGCTGGGGAAGAATCTGGACCAGAATGTGACTGCTATGGAGGAGTTGGCAGAGCCAAGGAATCTGCAGTCTGGAAGCAAATGGTTGCATTTTTTTATTCTTTTAAGTCCTAGGGGGCAGGCAGGACCTCCATGCACAAGAATAGCACTGTTACACTGCTACGTCTAGGGACGTAGGTAGCTGACACAGCGCCACTTCAATATACACCTCTACATGGCATGACCTGGACATCACTAGCTAGCCACCACTACTCTACTGATAATGGGGCCACCCTCCTACCGTAGTGTCATGTCAGTATCCTTTGGACTCAGCCTCGGAAGGTGATAAGGACACAGCCCTTCACTCAGCCCTCCCAATAGTCACCCAGCACCAGCTTCTCTCTAGAAAACATTCCACAGGGTACTAATTTCCCCAAGGTGTCACCAGGAATGGCTTCATAGCACTTTGTCACCAAATGCAACCAACTTAGTGCCTTCTGCTGGTGCCTGCTTTTTCTCAAGGACTGGCTTGGGGTCGCAATGAGGATCATCATTTTAATGCAAACCCCTTTTTTGGTTACCCAGCTTGTTTTTAAAATAAAATGTGATTTCTGGCATAGGTGGCATTTTTGAGATGTACTAATTTTCTCCCTTCCTTTTGACTGGGAGATTCAAAATAACATGTTGATGCAGGTAGGTGTCAGAGTTGGGTAGCTGAGTGGGTCTCAGTTTTGGAAGAAGTTTCCATGATTGAGTGGGCAAGGGGGCAGTCACTCAGGAGCCTCTCGGTTGTATGGACTTTAAGGCTGCAGTGAGGTTGGGGTAGGATTCTCTCCCCACTGTCCCCTTGACCACTAGACACACGCCTCTTCCCAGCCACATTAGGTCAAAGTTGCTCTGCATCATTTATTGTCGAAGCAGGAGTCACCCCTGGATCCTAGGGGCCCTGCCAGAGCCCAAGGCTGACTCCCAAGCCCAAATGAGCCAGATGCAAACAGGGCAGGACAGGGACTGAGGACCGGATGAATGCTCCAGGAGAGGCTGATACCCTGCGCCCTCCAAGAGGTTGCTGGGGGCGGAAATTATCCATGAGCGGTCTGGGGTGCAAACCTGGTGGTCCCGACTGGAGCATGGTCTGGAACTGGGCTACCTAAGGGTGGGTAAAGATCGGTCAAGACGGGTGGACAGAGAAGGCAGGGGTGGCAACTGAGGCTGTGGGAAGGAGCCTGGCATTGGGTAGGGGTAGTGGCTCCCACCTGCGCGTGCCCAATGGGTACGGGGTTTTCAAAGACTGTCCAGAGCACGACTGGCTGGCAGCCCGGCGTGGTCAGAGACCCGGAGTATCGGTAGTAGTGCAAGAGCCCCACGGCACTTGGCAGCAGGGAGGCCAGGGGGAAGGATGTCAGGTTCACAGAGACCCCTGTGTGGCGGGAGAGAAGCTGGAACTCCCCCCACCCCGCTTTTGTTCCTCACCCACCTACCTTCCAGCCCAGATGGGACCCCGCAGCTCCTTACCAGGTGAAGATACATTTTTTAGGGCAGACACAATGGCAGAGAAATTGGTATTGTCCCTGTCCTCCTCCTGGGGAGAATTCCAGTGAGAAGGGCTTTGAAGTTTGTGTGTGTGTGTGTGTGTGTGTGTGTGTGTGTGTGTGTGTGTGTGCGCGTTTCCAAAGAAGAGACAGGATAGTTGGGACACCAGTGGGAAGGTCCCAGATGGACGGTCTGGGAGATCTTGGGGTGGAGTGAGGAAGGTCTCTTTTCACGATGTCCATCAACACTCCATGGGCCCTCACCCCCTGAAAATTCCCTAAGTCCAATGATGCCCACAAACTTCAAACAGATCCCTGCTCTCCAAGACCCTCTTTCGGGAAACATGCATGGAATCACACAGTCCCTTCCTCACCAACAGCACAGCCAGCACAGCGAGTCCATCCGAGTGGCTTTGTGCCTCCCTCACGTCCTGGTACTTCGTGTTCATGTGGAGCATGTGCATCTAGGAAATATAGACCCCGGGTGGTGTCCGGCTGCCCTCTGCTCCCTAAGCCCACCTTCCTTCTGGTCATCTTGAACCCACCTCCATAGAGTAGTGCTTCTCATCCAGGCTGTGCTCTGAGCCTCTGCGCCCTGGACTGCCCCAGTGGAAATGCAGCTGCAGCAGCCGGTACCCTGGTGATGGCAGCCCAGCCCCTCGGATCACCGGGCAGCTCTGCTGACAGGAACTTACTCGCAGTATCACTGAAGGTGGAGGAGCATATGAGAGTCTATCCCTCCCCAGCAGACTCCTCTGCTGTGGAAATCAAACTGACCCCAGCAGTGCAGTTATGAGGGTCCTGATTTCTTTCCAGCATCTTGACATCTAGGTGTGAAACTGGCCATGGTAAGCTTTATTTATAGGGAGGTTCTTGCCACCTCCCTACAGTGTGCAGAGCCTCCCCTGCTTTGTTCATGAGGATTTAGATTCTCATGTGTGTCACATTCTCAAGCTTCTTAGGTCCGTCCCTTTGTGTGTGTGTTGGGAGGGGGTGGGGTGGTGAGATCTTTGGAGAAGCTGCTTTCTCAGCTCCTCTGTGTGTCCTGATCCCTGTGTATGGGTAAGATTCCTGTAAGCTGTGAACTTCTTGGCTCTGTCTATTTGATCCTGACCTTATGATGCTGACCTGTATGGCCATCGTTCTCCAGGGTCCACGGGTCTAGAGGTGCTGAATCATAGCCTTGAAAGATGAAGGGCTCAAGAGTATAGTCCCGCTGGACCAAGTGAAGGTCAATGTTGATAGGGGACTGGGCTGGGCCCCCACAAGCAGGTGCTAGCTCCTTCCAGTGGGTAGGGCCTGAGGAGACAAGGACTGAGATCTGCAGCAGGGCCAAGGAAGCTGTTTGGGAATGTACTGAGGGTGGATCCCATAGCCCAAACATTCCCAGCTGAGGACTGTCTTCTCTCCATCCTCCCTCCACAACTGGTCACAGTGGCTCTCTAGACCCATCTGACTTAGCTAACGAGTGAGTCTGCAGGCAGACTGTCCCATACACAGGGTAGACGGATGTGGGATATGACTCAAGTTGAGGACCCCCCTGGCTCCACCCATAGGCTCACAGACCCTGACCATGAATTACAGCAGACACACATGATCACAGTGTGCCTGCTGCTTAGTGCTCAGTCCTTTGGAGCATAGGAGCTGGCAGAGACCAGACAGATTCACACAGCCTGTCACAACTGTCCTCACCGCACTTTGGGTCTTGGGAGTCGTAGCACCAGGTACCTGCAGGCAGGAGGCAAGGACTGAGCTATTTAGTTCACGTGGCCCTTTAAAGTTCAGTTTGGGGCTGAGATCGGGAATGGGGTCAGGCTAGCCGGGAGAGGTTGTTGCCCTGTCCATGCATCTCCTACACGGTGTCAGGTAGACCTAAGCCCACACAGGCAGACCTTGGTGCTCACCCTCGGAGTCCACCTGTGCCACAGGTTGCATGGTGAGAAAGCAGAGCAGGAAGCCCAGGGCCCACATGATGCAGCAGTGGCTGTGACTCTGGAGAACTGAAAACTGGACAAGAAATGTGTGCCCAGGCTACTTGAAAGGCTGCTCATTCATGCTGAGGCGGGGCTGTAGAGGGCTGGAGTGGGCGGGGCCCAGGTATGGCCACTAGGAACAGAGGTGGGCTGGAGCTGGTCTAGGGCTGCGGCAGTCAGTGTAACAGCATTAATTCTGAAGGCTGTCTGATTATTATTCTCACAGCAGAAGCAATGGGAGACAGGGACCCGGGGTGATATGCCAAAGCCACGAAGGGCACTTTGGAGACTAGTGACCAAGACTAAGAAGCTAGGGAAAGAAGGCATGAATGTTTCTTGACTTATTACAAACTCAAGACTCCAACCCATCCCAAGTCCAGGTCCACAGCTGCCTTCCTGCTGATGCTCCTGTCTGAGGACCACTCTGCTAAAAGTCTTGGGAGAAACTGCAGCCCTTCTGTGGTGGGGACATCGCAGTAGCTCAAGCCCCCTTGCCTAAGTCTCAGGCACACTGAAGCGGGGTCTCTGACTCTTTGGCTTCCTGATGTGTCAAAAGATCATGTGACAGTCCTGCACTTGGACATCATGTGTCTGTAGATATGAGAAGATTTGTCCTACTCATGATTACCAGGGAGTGGGCTGGAGGCCTGTCCCTCTGGGTATGCCAGTAGTCAGCATCTCTTTGCCATTGCCCCAGGTAGTGCAGTGGCAGAGCACTTGCTTAGCATGTGTCCCTGGATTTATCCTTAGCACTGCAAAAACAAATACAGCAATTACTGGAAGACCAGATTCTTCCCAGGTGTGTTGAGGGATTGAAGGACTCAGCAGTTCCTTACTAACCCTGACCTCTTGTCAGGCTTTGTGAGAGCCTGTTCAGTCACTGCCCTTCCAAGCTAGTGGGAAAAGCTGTTAGGACAGCAAGTTAGATTATAGCTGTAACTCTCGTTCCTGGGTTCTGGTCACTGAGGGCTCCTGCGTGCACATGGTGCACATAAATATATTCAGGCAGAAGAGTGCATGCACACACACACACGCACAAACACAAACTATAAAAACTAAAATATGATGTCAGGCATGGTGGTGCACGCCTTTAATCCCAGCACTCAGGAGGCAGAGTCAGGCGGATCTCTGAGTTGCCTGGTCTACAATAGTGAGTTCCAAGACAGCCAAGGCTATGCAGAGAGTCTCAAAAACAACAACAAAACACACAACCCCCGCAAAAAAAAAAGCCAACTAAATTAATATTTTTCTTTTAAAGAAGGTAAGCTTAATTCCAGAAATTACTATCAAGAATCCTGGTGTGCCACAGAAACGACAGTAGTAAACACAGCCATCTGGAGCCTGCCATGCTTTCTCTGTTCCCACCCCAGTCCCTACCCCCGTGTAGGCAGAGTGCCAGAGTGGATGAGTGCAACCCCTCTTCAGGAGGAGCCCAGCCCAAGTCAACAGGCCCTGCTAGTCTTTAGCACCTTTGGACTTCTGGAAAGACAAGACCACCCAATCATTTTATAGATGAGAATCTTCCCAGAGGACCCGAGCTTCTCCAGCCCCTGCAGGGAGGCAGGGTTCAGCCAAGCCTGGGTGTAGGTAGTCAGCCCAGCCCTCTGAGAACCTAGAGCTGCTCTGCTGGAAGGGGCTGAGGGACTAAGTCTCATGTCCTTCCCTGCTCAGTCTAACTCACACTGGTCACCAGTAACCAGAGGGAACCAGCACGCCTGTCACTCTTGTAACACTTCAGAGGGAGCACAGGGTGGCCCTGCCATGTACCCTGTACAGAGATGTCCCAGGCCTAGCTGTCTGGTTCTTAACAAAAGAGTGTCAGAAGCCTGCTGGATGCATATAAGGGCTGAAAACTTAGAAGAGCTCTCGCTATAGGGCTGGGCCGCAACAAGGACTGACCTTGCCGTTTCCATAACACAAGTTTATTTGGCATTGGATGAAATGGTTCTCACAGCATCTTAAGAAAGGATTAATGCCAACCCGACCAAAAATACACCCAAACTAAAACCTTTAGTGAAAGGAGTATGTAAAAACAGGCATTGAGACAATGTACAGAATCAAATTCCACCTCAAGGCAGGTCAGAGGGCACCCAGCCTCTCACAAGAGTGGCAAGGCAGTCCTGGGAACGGGACCTCCCAGGAGCTTGGCCTGTCCCTCTGGGGCCTTGTGGGATGGGCACAGAAACACAAACCTTAGCAAATCCTGGACCTGGGATTATTCACCAATAAGGTATGGAGAGGGTGGCAGATGCCAGTGCTTGGAACTACAACAGCAACAGTTCAAACAGCCCCAAACATAGGCCACATGCACCCTGAATGCTTGCTTGACAGACCTTGGCAGTCCTGCAGGCCCACCTCAGCAGCACCATGGTCCACTTTAAGTCACCCTCTTCACCTCTGCCTCCTACAACCAGGCCCCAATCCCAACAGTCATTTGGTCCCCAGAGAATTTCAGTCTGTACATATGGCCTTCTGAGGCACTGCTGTGTGGTCCTTAGGACTCTTCAGGGTGGCCTGGCACCAAGACAATTCCCCACTGTTGCTCTGGAGCGTGGCTTCCCAGTGCCCAGCATTCAATACTTGCTGGAGGCATGATGAACTTCCTGCTCTTCTAAGCCATGAGTGGAGGAAGCACGAGCCCTTTGGCAGAGGGATGTCTGCAGCAGCTAGCCTGTGGGCTCAGCCTTGGGACAGACTACCCAGGGACAAATCTTAAACCTCCAGCCAGCTCTGGGGATTCAGTCTGAAGATGCTCCACGTGGGAGGGGAAACAGGTTTCCAAGCAGTGTAAGGATATGCCTAGAACTGTGCAGGTCTGATCAAGCACCACAGAGCTGGAGGTCGTAGTCGTTTCTCCCACTCATGTTCTTAGCTGGACAGGAGTCCCAGTCCCACTGACCACGGCCTAGGCAGCAGCTCAGACACACTGGTCTAGGAGCAGCCCAAGAACTCATACGGGGCAGTGGGCCATCCTGAGCTCCCGTGAACTCACCTGCAAACATTTGGCCACGTGAGGACACACATAGATACAGAGATCCAGACATTCAACATAGAAAAGATACGGATGTGCTAAAAATTGCACAGAACCTTGCTTAATCTCCAAACCTTAGAAATGCTGAAGGCCTGTGTCAGGAGACAAGACCACGGCATGGAGTTGGCAACAGAGTCCTTTGGGCAAAAAGCCCCAGGTATCCAGTGCTGCGGAGGGGCTGGGAGGCATGTGTGTGGTCAGCAGATGCTGCTGGGCTCCAGCGGTGGTCACGGGGTGAAGTGGACTCATGTGACACAACCACAGGGTGTCTACTGAGCCAACTCTCTTCCCAAATGAATAACCCTTTATGGCACAGACAAGGCGAAGGTCATTCACCAGCAAGCAGAGCACAGGGATCCAGTGGGTGGCAGAAAAAAGCCAGCATGCCCAACCCTCCAAGGGGTCTAGAGTCTACTCCCGGGGAGCCATGCAGAGCTATGCCATGGAGAGTGCTGCCCAGTTGCTGACCTCAAAACAAAGCTAGAAATGGGGCAGCAAGTTCAATTTTCTCCCAGGGACTGGCACCTCAATATTTGCATTTGGGGGCAGACAGAATGCCCCAGAGAGCCAGTGCAGCAGCTGCAAATGCTTTCCCTGGAAGTTCACAGATGCTCTGTCTCTAGGTAGCGGCCTCTAGGTAGCCACTGGTGTTACATATAGTGGTAGCCCTGCTCTGTCTACACTGGTGTGCTCACTGGCTGGTGACTGGCTTCTGGGGGTGAGACAGTGCAGTAAGCAAGCCCATCCAAAGATATATTTGGTGTGAGTGCATCCCACTGCCTCTGTTCTCTTGGAAAAGTGTGGTATGAACACCTGTGTCATTCTGCCATTTAAAAATGAGACTGAGAAGCCCTCAGATAAAGATGGCACAGGCACTTGCTTCTCTCTTGGGGTGCCTGGCTTCAGTTTCTATGTACACACCTGCTGCTGGTGGGGATGTGGCAGTGGAGTGGGTCCAGGCTCTGACAGGACCCCTTCAAGTCTCCCACTGGGATAGGTGTCTTCTGAACAGGAAACAGATACCCCTAGTCCACTGGGGCCATGAGCTGAGCCACCTACACCACAGTATTGAGGGAGCTACGGGGGTGGCGCCCACCACCTGGTGGTGTTTCTGTAGCTGGGGTGCTCCCACTCTGGGCAGGATCAGGGGGCACCAGCAGGGCACTGCTACTGTCTGTGGAGTCTTCCAGATCTGCCAAGGAGGTCTCTGCAGGGGGCAGTGGAGGATCCAAGTGCCTGGGCAATGCACCTTCAATACCACCTTCCCTTGGGGTTGGCAGGCTGGTCTCCATGGGTTCAAAGGCATCGTCATCTGCGGGAGAGCAGAGGGATGTCAGAAGTGAGTGATGGTTTGGTGAGACCGAGGATCCTCTTCCTGACTGCTGAGTGGGAAACAGGACCTAGGGGAGCTCCTAGCCTAATGTTCTGGCAGACACAGTTCATCTTGCCACCACTGTTTGTGGTGGGTGAGATGCAGTGATCAACTCCTCAGAACAAAGAGAGACCAGAGGGAAGGTACTCTGACTCCACAGAGACACACAACAAGGAGCTTCTGGACAGAACCCCCTGGGCTGCAGCAGAACTATGGCAACTACAGCAAAGGGGCTGGGCGGGAGCCATTGTGTCAGCACCAACCAACCACCCTGCTTAGTATTCTGGGCTGGTTAGGAATATCGGTGACCAGAGGCCAAGGCTATGAGCTATTTCCATCCCCGCTTCCTGCTCTGCAACCTTGAGAGGGAAATTGGCATTTATCTAGTGCTGACTTGGTGGAAACTCATCTTTTCTCAACACTTCTGCAGTGCTGAAGATTCAACCGAGGGCCTCTAGCATGCTAGGCAAATGTTCTACAAATTGAGCTATGTCCCAAGCTTTGATTGTGGCCTCTCTGACAACAGTCTCTGACAATCTGCTCTGAAGGCAGGAATCAAATTCTCCTAGCCCCAGACCTCAAGGGTGTTAAAAGTCCCACTCGGCTGCAGAATGCAGGGAACAGGAGAACACTCCTGCCTAATGGGCCAGGGATGAAAGCGGCACACTGGACATTCCTCCTGAGCTATGTAGTCTAGGAAGAACTACTCAGGTCAGGTGGGAACAGGAAACTTTTCGATATAACACGAGGAGCTGCTATAGTGGTGTCTTTATGATTTAGAACAAGCTCCAGAGCTGGGACAGAACCAGATATGTCCATGTGGCCCCTGCTGCCCAGGCCCCCACTGCTTTATAGAGAAGAGTCGAGGCCCTGAGAGCTGCCCAGCCACTAATAGGAAAAGAGAAGGATGTTGCCCATGGATCCTCAGAACTCTCCACACCCTGAAGGAGGCTGGGACCAAGAGCCTTCTGAAGGGGCAATCTTGAGAATGGCTCTAAAGTAATATTGAGAAGGCAGCCAGAAGGAAAAGCGGGTCCCCAGATCCCAGGAAACCCTACAGTCCTACCCCTGCATTCCTGATTGCTTGACAACTCCATATTCCCTCTCCCTAGGGTGGATAGGCACCTGCAGGGTCGTAGAAGACACTGTCCTGGTTGATGGAAGCCTCATAGGGCGGTGGTGGATCATCCGGCTGGTCCATGTCTGGGTACTTGTAAGCTGTATAAGGAGGCGGAGGGTCGTGGAAATGGAAAGTCCCACCTTCCCCGTCGTCAGAAAGATGTAGTGGGGTGAGGCCTGTGCCAAACCCATCTGGGCCATAGTCAAAGCCTGGGATCCTCCGGCCAAGGTTGAAATGGTGCACTGAGCCGTCAAAACAGAGAAATAGGAGGGAAGCTGTGTGATTTGGAGGCAGTCTCCTGAGCCTCCTTCCCAAGGCTGACCCTGCCACCTCAGTGCCACACTGCTGTCCCTGCCAGCCCAGTGTCACATTCTGTAACCATCTATCCACTTCCCAGCCACACACCAACAGGTGGCATGAGATCCTGATTTAGCTAGAACCTCCCATCCCTGTGTTTCTCCTACCCTGACACCTGACTACAGGAGCACCCTTGGCATCACTGTAGCTCCAGCTCCAATCACTTCTGGGTAT